GGCTTGTCTGTGGTGTGGGCAGGTAATTCTCTGTGCTATCCCAGCTTGGAGCACTTGCATATTATTCCTCTTTAATTGCTGTTGACCATTAACTCTGAAATGCCTTTGTGTCTCTTGTTTGGTTTTAACTTGCAACTGGCCGATAATCTGTGAGCAGCTTAAGCAATGATGTGAGTTCTCCACCCTCCAAATCCTAAGTCAAAAACCTGTTGAAAGAGGTTTCTGGAGCCAAACTGAAGTGGCTTTCATTTAGGAGTTGTTCTTTCTTTTCTATTCAAAATAGAGGAACCTCATCTATCTGTTCATGACATCCCACTTTTCTTCCTTCCTCTCCCTGTCACAGGCTGTTCTAGGCTTGGGGAGCATCCAGCAGCACACAGGAGGTGGTGCTGCAGCACAGGGAAAAGCACATGGCTCTGTGTGCGGCCTTATCTCTGCATCCAGAGCTCCTTGTTCTCTTCCTGAGTCCCCAGGCTGGGGATCTTCATTCTTGCCAACTGAAAAAGCAAGACACTTTGAGGACATTCCAGTAGTCCTGAGCCCAAGCTCCCCCTGCTCATGGCTGTAGGAGCTGGAGCCCCGAGGTGGTGCTGGCAGGGTCGACATTTCAGGAGAATTCCTGGTGACATCATAACGGCTTTGGTGCCCACTGCTAATGCTTCTCCTGTACTAACAGTTGGAGGAGCATCCTTTAAGTGCAGTCTTTCATTGTTCAGCTTTTTAAAAAGGAAATTAAATGGGGACGAGGCTTTGTCAGAGCAGTAGAGGTCTGACCTAACCCCTTGCAGCATGAAAGAGCCACCCTGAGTCTGGTCTTGCTGTACTACTGCACTGCAGGACTCTGAGCTGCACTTGTGTGACTGTGCCCACAAATCCCTCAGCACAGAGGGTTTGGAGGAGGACCTGGCATTGCCTCCCCATATTCTGGCTTTCCTGGGCATTGGTTGTACCTTTGTGGGTTGCTGACACTAACAGCAATGCCTGCCTAAACTGCATGTGGCTAGAGGAGAGCCCAGCCCCAAGTGTGATCCAACCTAGCTTTTCCTCTTTAATTTCCTTTTTTCTTTCCCTAGCCTAGCTTGTGTGGGACACTGGAGCCGTTATGGTGTCAGCAGAGGTGTTTGCCCTTTAAAGACACCCCATTATTTTGGGCGGAGCGGCCCCGCACGGCGCGTCTGAAGGGCAGGACGGCTGACCCGAGGACGACATCCTCTGCCCCTTAGGAGGTACTGACCTTTTGTCCTTCACTACTTGCCATGACCAAACAGGCTGCTGGACCAGGCTGCCTCTGCAGGTGAACTACAAACGCCACTGGTGGAGTTAAACTCAGCAGCATCTGCTGCTCATCTGAGTTAAAAGATCTGGAGAATGTTTTTATTGGAAAAAACTTGAGGGCTGCTTCCTCCCAGGTGGAGGTTATTCCATGCATGTTTCTGAGCTTTACTCCACAGAGCTTTGTTGTTCACCTCATGAGGATTGTGGAGAAAAAAGGTCTTTTAAGGACTTGCTTATGAATGTGACTCAGAGTTGAAGTTGAGGGTCTTGTATCCCCCTTGGTCTCTTCAGAGCCCCTGTGATGGAGGCTGGCTCTGGCTTTGTTTTATTAGGATCACTCCATCCTGGAATGAAGTTAAATGTGTGCTTTGCCCTGCAACCCAGTCAGGCCTTCTCTCTTCAGGAGAGACTGTGTACGGATCACAGGGAATTCTCTTTACCCATATTATTCCTCCTTTACCTGCTGACACTGATGAAAGATAAGACCAGCTGTGGTGGGCTGGCATCTGTGGTGTGGAAAAGCGTTGTGGGATGGCTGGACTGATTTGCCAGGTTCTTTGCTTGGCTGTTGAAGGCTGGTTGCTTGTACTGTGACTGGTAGGCTGGGATTTCCCTCCTGCAGGAGTTTTTCTGAGCCTCCTGCTCTAGAACAAGCTCCTGGGCTGGAGCCTGTGGCCCACAGAGTGATAACCAAGTGAAATTGGAGCAGTCCTGATGTATGTCTGCATGAGAGGGCAATGCTGGTTATCATTGCCCTCTGAGGCTGGTTCAGACTGGTTTCTCATTTTCTTTGGAAAAGAGACAGAAGGTTGGTCAGACTGTGCTGTCCTGGCAGTGGCTTCGAAATGATGACAGTCAGTGCTGATAATGGCAAGGTCAGGGTCTCCATTTGACACCACAATGGCTTAGGAACTTCTTCATCCATCACCTCATAGCTCATGTGGTCTTTGTATTTCCCTCTGGATCCTTTCCTTCTCAATCCTTACTCTGTTCTCTGTTGTTCCTCACTTTAACCTTGTTTGGAACCCAGTTTAATGGGAGTTGCTGGTGGGTAGAGGGAATGGGTGAACCTGTACCACTCACACCTGCCCTAGGAAAGGGACAAATGGCACATCAGGATTTTGCTGTTTGGCACATCAGTGACTCCATGTTGCATGAGGAGTTGGCCAGCTTGAAACTGGGAGATCTACAATGCTGAGAAGGTTCTTTGAACATAATCAATCTAAATAAGTGGCGCCTAATTGCTCCTATGTAATTGTGTTTTCAATTGGAAGCCTTTATGATCTGTTAAAACTTATTTAAAGTGGTGTTTCTAAGGGTTTCATAATTTTGTGTTTCTTTTTTCCACCTCAGTGTCTGCTTTTCTGGTGCAAAAAGATTGTAGGGAACAGACAAGAAGCAATGTGGGAATTCAACTTCAAGTTCAAAAAGCAGGTATGAAAGACCCAGATCAGCTGTGACTTCTGTTTGAAGTAGAAATTATATTTCTGGGGAGTAGAAGGGAAGTGGAAACTTTTTGTCCATTCAGAGAATAAATGCAAACAGATTTCCATGGTAAACTAAAGCATGTTGTAGAACTACACTCAGTTTTCAGTCCGTGTTACCAAGACATTTAGAATCCCACATTTTTATTTCCTCCATCAGTATCCTTTCCCTGCTATAAGATGTGGATCATCACTACTGATTGTTACCAAAAACCAGACTGTCTGACTGTAGTGGTCAAAATGTTGACCAAAATCTGAAACTTCTTGTTATGGCATTGCCAAGATTTCTCAGAGAAGTGAAGACAGCCAGCACTGCCAGGGAAAGCCTCCAGTAGTGGGTGTTGGGAGAAGCCAGTAATTTCAGGCAACCTTGGGATTTGTGCAGCTTTCCCCTCTAAAGAAATGGGTCTGAAAATTGTCCATCCAGAGTGATGGCATTTTGTTGTTATTGTGACACTTTGTCCAAATACCTGGGGAGGAGGAGAGACCCTGCCAGGCCACACTGGGGAGGAGCAGCCAAGCCCAGCAGAGGTTCCTGCTTTGCTAAATCGGCCTCTCTTTCTTTCAAGTCTCCCAGATTGAAGAGCAAGTGTTGCAAAGGTCTCCAGCCCCCAATCCAGTATGAGGAAGTGCACACAAACCCAGATCAGGATTGCTGCCTGCTGCAGATCACCACCTTCAACTTCATCTTCGTGCCAATCGTCATGGGCATGACCTTCACCTTGGTGAGTGGGAGAAAGCTGCCAGACTCTGCAGATGAGGCTCCTGTAAGGACATGAGAGGGCACCTGGAATCTCCTGTGTTGGAAGGGACCCACAGGGTCCCCTATTCCTGGCCCTGCACAGGACAACCCTAAGAATCCCACCCAGTACCTATTTTAGGCTGTATAAATCCTACTGTCCTATCAGCAAACCAGTTCTGGGAATCATATGGTTAATAAAGAGAGGAAGTGCTCAGAATCTTGGTTTAACTTCTCCATTTTCCCTGTTTGGTGCAGTGAACAGAGAGGATGTAGAGGATGTTCCAGGAGCTGTGGTTAGGCAGTGTCTGGCCACAGGTCAGTTACCAGAACTGCAGCAGGTACAGGAGACAGGGAGCAGTACAAGTGGAGGTCTGCCCCTCCCAGGAATATCTCTTTATGGCAGTAAATTCTGAGAGGAAAATCCCACATGAGCAAACTCTTTGATTGTGTGTTTGTTCCCTGATTGGGAGTCAGGGTTTCAGAAGTGGCCAGTGCTCAGGAGAGGTTCAGTCTGGCCTCACTTAGGAGTTGGGCAGTGAGTTCCAGACTTCTCCTGACAGCCATGTGTTTCCAGGTTCACTTAGAATCAGAGTCATAAAATTACTTATATTAGAAAAGACCTTTAAGATCAGTCCCAGCACTGTCATGTTCACCCCTAACCCATGTCCCAAGTGCCACATCCACAGGCGTTTTGAACACTGCAAGGGATGGTGACACCACCACTGCCCAGGCAGTTCCAGTGTTCTTTTACAGCCCTTCCAGTTTCCAGCATGATTATTTGGGGCTGCCAGCCAGACAGAATGAGAATGTGACTGTGAAACACCATGTACAACTCAGAGGAATTTATCAAGTCTAGAAGTGTGGTGTTGAGAGCTCTCTTGGTCACTGTGACTCTCTGAAGCAGCTCTGCTCTCCTCTCTTGCAGTTCTCCATCTCGGTGAGCACGGACATGCGGCACCACCGCGTGCGCCTGGTGTTCCAGGACGCGCCCGTGCGCAACGGGAAGAAGCCGCGCGTGGAGCAGGGGGTGCAGGTGGTGCTGGACCCTGTGCACAGTGTCAGGCTCCTGGACTGGTGGCACCCACAGTACCCCTTCTCCCCAAAGGCTTAGTGCTCTCCTGAGGCTGCAGGAGCCCACAGGGGACTGAATCTGGCAGGCTGAAGAGAATTTCTAGGAACCAGGAAATCCTATTTTTATTTCTGAAATAAATTCTGCAGTCTCCTTGCAAGTGGTTGAAGCTGCTGAGCTAGTTTGTATGTATATAACTTCTGGTCAGTAATGAGCAGAGCTGAGTGTAAAGCAGAAACTATTTGTAAACACACTTTTATGTAAAATTGACATTTTATGATTTGAAAGGAGCTCCCTGGAACTGTTCACTTAAAATCCTTTTGGTGCTAATCAAAGTGGTCTTGTGTTCTGTTGTTTGGGAAGAAGTAGGAGGTTTTGCTTTCCAAGAACTTTCCTTTTTGCTTTCCAGGAACAATCAAGAAACAAAATCCATGTTTGTTTTACTGCAGCAGGATTGTGTTCATGCACAGTGTGATATTTCAGTGTCTGAGAAGCAGTGAGCAAGACAGCAGTGATCAACAATAATCTTAATTCCCAGCCCAGCAGATACCAGTTTAAGGAAAGAAAAAGAAAAATAAATGATCAAACAAAGGAATTACTTGAAGAGGAGTTGTAAGGCAAAAGTATGTAAAGGTACTTAAGTTCTCACACTGGTGTTTTTCTTTGAAAAGAAGATCTAAACTTTTAAAACCAGAAGGTGCTTTTCAGAGAACATAAACAGGGAGGGAGAGGAGGGGACAAACTAAAATAACTGAAGCAGTGATGAAGTGATGAAGGACTCGACTCTGTCTTTTCAAAGAGCACAGTGCGGAAATCGTTTCTGTTGAAAGCCCCCAAGCAACCACTGATCTGGCTTTTGACTCAGTAAATTGATTTCTGTGAGGAAGAAGCAACCATGAAACTTCCTGTGGCCCTGGGCTGACTGAGAAGTGAGGGGTGCAGGGGCTGGGCCTATCAGAATTGTGGTCTGACCAGAAGGAACCTGGCTGGAGGTTTAATTGAACACGTGGCTTCCTGGGGAGGTGCAGAGGAGGTGCTGCAGGGCAGGGGAGCAGCTGTGCAGATACAGACCCTGGACTGAGCTTTGCTGCTTATCAGATATCAGCCTCTCAGTCCTGCTGCACACCACATCTGATCCCAAGCAGGAGGAACAGTTCTTGTCCATGTAGAATGTTCAGTGAAGCACCTGAAGGAGAGGGAGTTCTGCCATCTCGGTTTGGACTCGGTGGTCTTTGAGCTCTTGGTGGGTCCCTTCCAGCTCAGAATATCCAGTGGTTCTGTGACCCCACATGACCCTGGTGTAGCTGCCCAGAAGGAGTTTCTTGCCACTCTGTAAATCACCACTAAGGACATCTGCCCCGACCTTGGATCTCTGTTGGAGACTCTTCATGTTGACTTCAAACTCATTTGGGACAGCTTCTGCCTCACAGTTCCCCTTTCCACCACTGCTGAACTGTTGATGCCGCAGGTAAGTTTTGAAGTTAAGTTGGTTTATTAGAGATAAAGGGCAAGGAAAATGTGCTGTCCCTGTGCACCTGGGGCTGCCATGTCAGCAGAGCCTGGGCTGTGTCGTGATTGTGCAGGAGAGGCAGGACAGGCTCGGGGCTGGAGCTGTGTCTGAGGGCTGCAGGGGCTCTGTCCCCAAGGAAGCTGCTCCAGGGCACTGGGGGATAACAATCTGCCTTTTGCTGTGGGGTTAAACACCATTGAACCCGGGGACAGGTGGTGAGCTCAGGCAGTGAAACGTGGTCAGGCTGCACTTTGTGGTTGTCTTGGAGGCTGGTGGCTGCTTACTCAGAGCCTGGTTCTGGCTGTGCTTCAGGCTGTTTGCTGCTAATTGCCTGAAAACTCTCTCATCATGATGCCATGGCCATGTGCCTGGGAATTGCTGTTGATGCAGGGTCTGGAGGGTGGGAGCAGAGTTGGTTCCTGGCTCAGGCTGATGGCAGGAGCATGGAGCAGGCTGGTGTCTGTGTGAAGCTGTGCCCTTACCTGTGGGGAGCTGCTTGGGCTGAGGGGCTGGGAACGGCAGCCCGGGCCCTGCTCTGGCTCCTGTGCAGAACTACAGAACAGCTGCTAGGCTGTGTGTTCCTGCCATCTGGCACAGCAGGAATACATCATCAGGCATATGGCAGATCCGGGGGGCCAAGGTGCTTGGCAGCTCCAGAATTCCCTGGCTGACCCTGGGTGGCACAGGCTGTGACAGCAGGAAGCAGGTGGACGGGATGTTTCCTGCTACCAACAGACTTGCTAGATTCAAATATGGATATTTAGATACAGATGCCCCTAAGCCAGAGGTGCCTCTTCCAGGCCAGGCTTTTGGTTGGCTGAAATGTATAAAATGTACAAGAACAATTCTCAGTCTTTCCCTTTACAAAGCTTCTGGCGATCTGGTGCTGGAGCTGTGCTGATCAGCAGTGCTGGCAGGGATTGGGAACCTGTTCTGATCCATGTTGGGAGGATGGGGAGTGGCAGGGGTGCTGTGGAGGGGGGATTCTGCCTCTGTGTAGAGCTGCAGGTACAGATGTTCCCCTTGGTCCTTACCCAGAGCATCAGGCCCTGAACCCTGGGCTGAGGTTTGCTCAGTGAGGAAGTTGACACCAAAGCTCAGCCCCGAGCAGGGGATTTCCACCCTGGCCCTTGAGCCCAGCCTCTCTTGAAGCTTCATTGCCAGAAAAGTCCTCTTCAGTGTCCTCCAGGATGGGATACAGTGAGTCCACGGGCAGGAGTGGCTGTGGTTTGGTGTCACCCTTTTCTGTAGGACACAGCTCAGAGGGGTCCTCAGTGATCTGGAAATGGAGCCTCAGATCAGCATCATGGTGGCTCTCCCTGTGCTCTCCCTGCTGTGTGAGGCTCTGTTCTACCTTTGCTTTGTCCTGCTCCTGAATAATGGAAGGGCTGTAAACAGATCCTGCCTGGCTCTCTGGTTTCCTAGGGGAGACAGGAAGACTTGGCCACCACCCTCCCTCTGCTCCTGTCCTTGTCAGGATCCGGTGTCCAACAGGAGCTGAGCTCAGTAAGGCGAGGCCTGGGGGCTTGGGGAAGGGGGCTAGGCCCTGCTGTGGTTCCCTTGTGCCTCTCCCATCCCAGTCCCTCTGCTCTGGCCTCAACTGGGAGAACTGTTCCTCCCTGGCCCTCTGAGCTGGGTGTGCCTGTGCAGCCATGGGGCTGCTCAGAGCAGCTTTTGCACCTGGGGCTTCTCTTTCTTCTTCAGCTTATTCTAAAGCAAGCAAAAATGTGCCTTTTAGCCTCATTTCAGCCACCTCCCTGTTTCCCCTGGTCAAATATTTTGGTGAGCAGAGCATGTTTGGGTTTGGGGCCAGAGGGAGGTTTGAGAGCAGCCTTTGGTGCCAGGCTTTGGTTGGTTCCTGGGCACTGGGGCTATGCTGTGGCCCTCACAGGGTGGCAGGTGGAGGAACCCTTTTTCAGCACCCAAAAACCATTTGGGACTTGCTCTATAGCACAAAGGGGGGACTGGATGAGCTGGCCAAGGCTGGGCTTGTGGCACTTGCTTTGAGGGCAAGAGGACCCAGGATGTTTGCCTGGGCACCAGCAGCTGTGTCCTAGCTGGATTCCTTTCCTGCTCCAGGCCTGCTCGTGGATGTCCCTGGGGAGGGTCAAATCCTGCCCTAGCACTGCACCCTGAAGCAGCCTGTGAGGTCCAATGGGGAATTTGGTGGCTCTCCTGCTCCCCTTGGCAGTGCAGGCTGTTCTATTGGCAGGGCTCTGCACCCCCAGGGCTGTGCTGGGTGTCACAGCCCTCCCCCTCTTCCTTTCTGTGGGGGCAGGAAGGACCAGATTTCCTTCCTGTGCAGGGGTGGGGGTCAGGGGCAGCTGTGGTGAGAAAAGCCCTCCCCCTCCTGCAGCTGCTGCAAGCCCCACAGTCCTTCCCACCCTGGGCCACTGAGCAGCAACTGAGCAGCAAAGCTCTGCTGGGCTGCACCGTCCCAGCTGCCTTGGCCCTCCTGGAGTCCTCCAGCCCCTGTCCAGAATCCCAGAGTGCCTTTGCTCCAGAGCAGGTGGGGTGTCCCCACTGAGCCCCTGGGACCCCACTGGGACAGAGCCACTGCCACCCCACCATAGGAATGTAAGGATTTAAACCCAAACGATGTAGGAAAAGCGAAAGCCAGCGGATCCGGGAACCTGGGGACGTCTCTTCTGCCTTCCCAGCACCATCACCTGCTTCCTGCTCTACCTTCTCTCTCACAGAGGAATTCCAGGCTCCATGTGCTCCCACAGGAACAGCTGGGGCTGGAAGTTATCATGGGGGATTTGTAGAAGATGGAGCTTGGCAAGAGATGTGAGGGCTCTCTGAAGGTAGGAGAGGTCCAGGCCAGCAAGGACAGAAGGGAAATGGGATCCACATTTGTGTGAATAAATAGGGGGAAGGGAAGGGAAGGGAAGGGAAGGGAAGGGAAGG